CTCTTTTGGCCGAGGTGCAACGTAGTTATATTTAAAATATTTATAACTGAAACATATGTGTCAAATCCTGTGTGGTTAGCAAGCTTGGTTTGACCCCAAAAAGATGGCCGCTCCCATGCGATCTCCAAGAAAATGATGGAGACAGCATATATAAAGGATTCTGTGTGTAGTGACTGCCCAATCATAACCCCCTGATGAAGCCATGTGTCCTATGGCGTAACGCGTAGGAGAGAACAAGCGGCAAGTACATATGCCAACGGCTGATACAGGCATTTATCACTGAAAGCGTTTTTTTTTATTTTAACAATGTGAGTGCATTGATTAAGATTTGTGGAATAAAATAAAGTCTGTTTTAAGGATAAAGCACTAGGTTCCTATTGTCTCCTTTCACACTGAGGAACGTATAAGGAGGATTGTGCTAGTGATTCAAAGCAGCTGAAGGAGGGAGAAATCCTTGCAGAGATATACAGCGTTTAAAGGGGAAAGGTGTTTGCAAGAAGTACCCAACATCCATCATATACTGCAGCAATCCTAGTAGGTTCCAGGATATGTGAACCAAAAGCTTGTTAAGCCTGTATAATAGGCTTAGAAGGAGGTGAGCGCACATCTATTTTCACTGAAGGATTCACGGAAAGTCACTGTATTATGTTTTAATCACTTTATCACAAATTTGGACTTTTTTTGGATAATGGATTTTTTTTTTTTGTTTTTTATTATGATCACTTTATTGATATATTGAAAATTTTTTGTCAGTTTGTATATATAATAGTATATTTCACACACTTTATATGGTTGGATAATAGGAGTGCAACATTTATAGATATATGACCCATCATGGAACTGTTCCTGTACTTTCTCCACAACAGTGATTGAGTGGAAATCTCCTCTAAATGAGAAGAAAACTCATGTGTCACAGTTCTCACCAGAACAAGTATCCCCACTGGAAGATTGGCCTTATAGCTAATATTATAGCAATATTTTTAGTGAAGCAGCTGGATATGATGGGTGCTCTGTTCTGCCACAACTCTTTAGGCTGCTAAGACCCCACCAACACACTTGTGCAATTTAAGCATTGGTATGCTACCACCTTATAACAACACACATGAAATAGGCCACAAACAACTTGGTGGTAGATGAATTAGCTGTATCATGGCAATGCAGTAACAATGCATGAATCAATGAACAGACAACTGAACAGGTTTAAACCAAATTATAACCATCGAGAGCAGGATTAAGAGTACCTGCATCAACTAACCAAAAAATAAAGGTTCTCATGTACACTCTATGTTTACAGCCCCAATGATGGGTGGATGTATACGTTCCTGTGTTTACCCCTGCAGGCGACTACAACTACCTACCACCTGTCAATATTAGCTGGCTGTTGTTGGGGCCCTTCTGTAAGATGGTACACATGTAGTTGTCCCTTTAAGAGCATGCAACAGATGGGTGATGGGCTGCTAAACTCAGAACAGTCTCTATTGCATTTACTGTGTCAGTGTTAGCAAAGATGAATCAGCTCAACCCTCCTGGTACACAGGAATCCTGTACAGATCACTGGACAGTCTGCTGTTCCAGAAGTCTCAGCCCTCACAATCAGGTTCTCCCGATGCGGTCCTCACAACCAGGTCCTCAATGGATCTCCATGACTGTAGGCACACATGGCAATGGGTCCATCTAGCTTTAGGTTCCAGCACAGCAGAAGTCTCGGGCTCTGTTCACACTAGTGAAACGTGTCATGAGACTTTGGACACAAAGTCACATGACAAGTCACTGCCCAGTGTTTTCAATGGCACCCATTCGGATCTATGTGGCTTAAAGTTGCAGCACTTTGAAAAGGTTCCTTCACTACTTTGATGCGACTTGAGTGCCAGAGAACTTAATGTTGCACTGGAAATCATCACACTGGCAGTTCTGCAACTTTGGAGTTACACAAGTGTAAATGGAGTCTCATTGCTTCAGTCCTTTGGTCTCTGGTGTGGGTACAAACACTCTCTCTGCACTCTCTCTCTCCCCTTTGATCCCTGGTCTCTGCACAGTCCCAACAAAGACCATAGGTCTTTACAGCACTGGTCTCACCAGGATTGCCTGGGAAAAGTCCTGTCTTTCCTCTGCTGTGTGAAGCTTTCCTCCCCTGTGTGCAGTGATTTGTGTCCCTTGTAGTCCACAACCCATTAGCCTGCATTCACTTTTGTTGTTCTGTGCCCCTTTAAGGACTACATATCCCATAATCCTTAGTGTCATCTCACAACCTCCCTGGTGCTCTGATTGGCTCTATGCCACTGTTTACATAAAGGAGGGGGGAGCAGGAGTGAGGGGGGATCACACATAGAGCCACTTCAGTGGTGCAGTAGGGAAGGGTGAGAGCTGGCTGTGCACACATAGCCCAATGCTCCCCTCAGCCCCTCACAGCTTGCAGTAGCTAGGGGGTAGGCAGGCGGAACACGCAGCTGGCTGCACCAGGCTACAGTAACATAATGTATGTCCATATTTAAAAGACCTCTTTTATTTTATTTTAGTATTTGTTATTTCATTTTTTATTTTAGTATTTGTTATATAAGAAAGCAGCGTAGTCAGTGTACAGACAGGGTTCCATTTGGATATAGATCTGCCTTAAGTAGCAAAAAATTTAAAGTAGAGAAATTACCAATTGTATAACCCAATTGTATAACCATAGCCGTGTAAAATTGTAATCTATTTAATCCAAGCATCCAAAACTTTTATGTATTCTCATGGATAGCAGATTTTTTTGGGTTTCCTAGGGCAGCACAAAACCTAAATACACCACTGGTCACAGTGCATACGGTCCAGAGTAGTGGTGTACAAAAGCAGAAATTTTGAGTATATGAAAACAACAGTACCCTTCTAAAAAGCAAACAAAAACCTTATGCATAACCATAGCCATCTAAAATAGCAATCCACATAATCCAAGCATCCAAAAACGTTTATGTATTTTCATAAAAAGCAAACAAAAACCTATGGAATATATTGAAGTAACTATACTTCTGAGTTTGAAAGATAAGTTCACATTTGGAACATGTTACATGTTCCACCGATATTTAGGGTGGAACATGTAACATGGTCCAGCTCCTGCCTCCCCCGATCCCCCTTCTATGTAACAGCAGGTGGGGGATCCTCTCCTTGCACTCGCTGTCACAATTTAAAACAAGCGCAGCTGTGCAGATCTCTGCCACACTGCCATGTCATTCTTTCAGAGAGTTTTGTGAATGAATAAACTACAAGTACTGTCAGCCTCCATGGCCGACAGCTTGTAGTTCTCAATGAACTAGGAGGTCACTGGTGAATGCTCTCGTAGTTCATTGATTCTTCTTGCCTGTCCATACGGGTGATATGAGTAGACAACTGAGTGTCTGCAGGAGCCTGGCTTTTCATGCGTGATCTGCTGATTGTGTGTGCAATGCCTTTACAGAAGGCTCTCATTTGCATGATCTGGCCATGGTGAACTGACATGTTTGTACTCTGCAGCTAATCCTCCACCTGCTCAGAGGGATCTCCAAGGGCTTATAAGAAGAAAAAAGCTACGAAATACCTAAACTCCTGAGCTGGACATGAACTCCACAATGTCTGTAGCCCTACATGGAGTGTTTAAGGAATGCGAGCCTTGCTGCCCTCAACGGATCAGGGAAATCCAAAAGAACTGCATTCAAAGAAACAAAAAGAGGGCGCACGGGCCTAGTGCATTGCCTATTAAAATAGAAATATATTAATAAAAAGTATTTTACTCACAAAGAAATAAAATCAAAAGCATGTCACAAGAAATACAGCATGGTCCAATCTCCCTGAAAGATATCAGTCATTAAGAGGTCTACGGTCCCCAAAGGGGTGGACTGACCATTTGGAAACTCGGGGTCAGTAGGGGGCCCCATTAGATGCCCCTGGTACCTTTTTCATAGCCTTTTTTGAGTTTGGGAAGGACACAGGGGCCCCATGATCCCCTATTGCCCGGGGGCCCCATGAGTTTTCAGTCTGCCCCTGGTCCCCCACCAGACATCTCTCAGGGAGATCGACCATGCTGTATTTCTTGTGACATGCTTTTGATTTTATTCCTTTGTGAGTATAATACTTTTTATTAATAAATTTCTATTTTAAACGGTAATGCACTAGGCCCGTGCGCCCTCTTTTTGTTTCTTTGTATGCGGATCACCAAGGGCTCTCTTTTGCTCACGGGACACCAGAGGATTGCCAGTAAAGCCTTTGTTTTTAACCAACATATAGTTATGTAAATCAGGATATGCTGGATAAGAAATAGGAAGACCATTCTGGATTAGAATGTGGAGGAGAGTGGAGGTGGAGCAATAAAGGAAGTATACCTACCCGGGTTAAAAGGAAAGGCGCTGTTTGACCTAGACATTTATAGGTCAAAATAAGGAGGTGAGAGTACATACTGTATATGTGTTGGTGGAGGAGAAACACATAATGGTGATTTTGCACATGGCAGGAAGGTGTACAGATGTTTACAAGAATTGAGTGATCCTGTTAAGAAGAATGTATGTATTACAGAAGGACTCGCTACACTATATGGGACTTCTATGTCGCAAGATGAACACATTGTTTATGTAACGCACTGTGATGTTTGTATGCACTTTTTAAGGACTTATATGGGAAATTGCGCAGGCACTTTATTTTGAGGATTGCACATACAGTATGTTATAAATTGCATATTTTGTATTGCGCAGCACTGGTTTACAAAGTATTTAATGCATTACAGGCTCCACTGTAAAAATTAATAAATTAACATTTCTAACTGCAAAAAGATGAGCATTTAGTCATTATTTTAAAAAGGTGAATTTAGAAAAAAATATAATATGATAAATGACTTTTCATTAGTAAAATTATAATATTTTTATACATTAGTAACCCATTTTATTCTCAGGGGGCTCCACATCTACCAGCATCATCTGTCTCCAGGCACAGCTGAAGACTTTTCCTCCTAAAATCCCCATGTAGCTGTCTTGTTCAGCTCATCACGCAATCCATATGACCTGGAACCAAGGGCGGACTGACAACTCATGGGGCCCCCGGGCAATAGAGGATCATGGGGCCCCTGCGTCCTTGCCCAAACACAAAAAAGCCTATGAAAAAGGTACCAGGGGCATCTCATAGGGCACCCTACTGACCCCGGGCCCTCGGACAGTGCCCGAGTTTCCAACTGGTCAGTCCGCCCCTGCCTGGAACATCTCTGGAACACTCAAGAAAGGCAAGATGATTTCTGTAAAGGAGCCTTGTGGCACCTGGACTATTCTCAATCTCCTTTCTCTTCCCAGGAGCACTGGAGATCATGTAACCTGTGAAGTGTGGTTCAGTTCCTTTCCTTTTCAGGTCCACTGGGATATGCCAGCTAAAGGTAGTTCTAATTTATGTTTAAAGTGACCTTGCTGCCAAGATAAAAGTAGTATGGATCAGGGTAGGGAGAAATGTGGCTATAGGATTGCCTTAACTAGCATAAATTAGAAGGTCAGAAACAACCATTAACACCAATTGTGTAAAAGAAAATAACAGTAAATATTCACCACTCTCACCAACAAAACCACCGATGTCCACTGTAATTAAAAGAAACAGCAGCCTGAAGAATCTTCAGAAACTTGCACACTTGCTGGAGTGTCAGATTCCTGGTGCTCTGTCATACTCTGTGGCTCCTCTCACCATCCCCTATCTCACTACTGTGTCTTGTAGTGACCAGGGGCAGACTGACAACTCATGGGGCCCTCGGGCAATAGGGGATCATGGGGCCCCTGTGTCCTCATCTACACTCAAACCACACCCAACAAAATCCTATGAAAGATACCAGGGGCATCTCATGGGGCCCCCTACTGACCCCAGGCCCTCGGGCAGTGCCCGAGTACCCAAATGGTCAGTCCGCCTCTGGTAGTGACATACGGGCTTGCAGATCAAACTGCTGCAAACAGCTGTGAACCAGGAATCCGACACTCCAAGAATGTTAGAATCTGAGTCATCACCTGGGGTTCTGCGAATCATGACTTTTGAAGAGTGGTTCAGTTCCTTTCCAGCCGTAAGAAAGGACAGCCGTAGCTGCACAAGCAGACTATGCAATGATACCAAGCACCTTCTCTACTTTGTATTACCATTCTTTCTTTGTCCAAGCACATTACAGATACAGAATGTCCAGTCGGGTGCTTACAGTGAAATGGGTGTTCAGTAGGTTTCTTGAAGAGTAACATATCCATCCTGTCTGTCTCAACCCAAGATAAACAGTTTTTCTTTTCATTTTTGGTAGTAGGTAAGTAAGGGATTGCTATAAGCCCTGTGATTTTTTTTTGCCCACTGCACCCATTGGGAAAACTTTCCCTTCAATTCCTGTCCCATAATCAAAACAGGGAGTGAGAGGAAATCCTTCCAAAATGAGGGTTGTCATCTGAACTAATGTCCCCTTTGGAAGATTTCCACTTATTCATTAGTGACCACTCAAAATGTGGGATTCCCTTTCACTTTTGTTAATAAGGGTCAACAGGACAGAGGGAGAAGGTGCCGGTTTGGCTGGAGCAGTGGCTGAGGCCATCCTATACATCTGACTCCTTAGGTCGGTCGGAGTGGCATCCATCCCTTCACCATACAGGAATCACTGGAATAATACTGGGACGCTGCTCCCTCCTTTCCCTATGCTAGCGAGATGACTTCTATTTATTTCAAGCTTGGAGCCGCACAATAAAAGTTTCTCCACAGAAGAGTGAGTGTAGCCACACTAAGATAAGAAGTGTGTTACAGGCTGGATAACAAGTGAAAATAAAGAAACAAGTAAAAAAAAAAGAAAAATAATGCAGCCCCCACATCTGAGGATTCGTGATCTGCAATATATAGCCATTTTATTTTTGGGTATAGATAAGGGATGTGTTAAGGCCCAGACACAGCTGTGTGCCAGATGTGTTTGTGTTCAGTGTCTGTTAGCAACAAGCCATGTAAAGCTAAAAAAGTAAAGTAGTATATGTAGAAGTGAAGTAGTGTAGTTTTACAGACCCCAGGCAAACTTATTTGGCAAACAAACATACATCCAATTAATTGGAGAAACCAAAAACTAAATCCAAACTGATGCTGAGAGTTATTAGAATAATTTAAAGTTGGGACATCTACCAGTGAGGGTGAACAATGGTACAAAACAAGAGAAGTATTTTGTTGAAAATCATTTTTTTTCTTCTTTTAAGATGAAAAGTATCAAAGATCCAGGAAGAGGAACTCTGTGACCGAGGTACATTACTAAGTTTGTAGACCCTCTGTTGACATTTGATTGCTTTCTTCATCCCGTTTTGGAAATGTTCCCACCACGTCCTTGTTGACAGATGTCAGACAGAGCTTTCCTCCCCAGGAGCTTCCCTCTTCCCTCAATTTGCTGCATTCTCTCTTCCCTTTGGGCACCCTGCACCCTTATTTAAAATTAAAAAAAAGTATACATAACCATTTTCTAGGTATCTTTGGTCCAGTTGGGCAATATCAGGGGTTTTCTACCTCCTGCTTTGGCCTGGTCCTGAATGCTGCAGGTCTTTCAGGACTCATAGAAACTGGGTTGATTGGCACTGGGTGTCATTTAATCCAGAAGGGAGGCATCATCTAGTGGTGAAAAAGGTTTACTGCAGGGGGCAGCACCAGAGATAGGGTGGGTATTGCAGCCAGAGCTGCTTGTTTTACTTTATAGATGCTGGGATTTTTTATTATTTCAAGGCAAGATGACAGAGTATTTCAAAAGTGAGACCCCCTCCCCAGGTAAGTCCACATTGCCAATGATCCCATGCTGCTCCAGGAAGCCTGATGCTTCCCAGCATAGGGGAGCATAGAAATTCCTCCCATTGATAGGGCATGTACATGACAGCCAATCACTATGCCCATGCACTGTCACATGACCTAGGGGTAATTTCACCACGTCTCCCAGCCTCCAACACAGGCAATACTGTGAATTCAAGTGGAAGGAAGAGGGCTTTAAACTTTAAGGACTTTAAAGAAAACTAGCACAATATTTGCACTAGTTTTTTCATTACCTCCATTTTTATTATTGAACAATCTATTTTGATAGTTGGGGAGGTTGTTCCAAAGTGATGACCAACTATTAGCTAATGTTTTATATATATTGTTTTATAGAACCGAATATGCATATCTACAATTGAATCACCTGAAAAGGAAGTCGAGTAGAAGCACCAAAATGAGTCATATGCTTCTATAGGCAAGGAAGCCAAACAGAAAGGAGATCCTCCTAAAATAAATTGTAGATAATTGTCATAATATCTATTTGTATGTATGGTGACTACACAACATGATAATTTTCATTTTACAATAACAAATACAAACATTTAAAATGCTGGGGGGTATTTTTTTGCACTTCCAACTACCCTGAAACATGAAAAAGTAAAATATTTGTATAGTATATGGACTCAATCATAGACTTATTTATCATAAACCCTCTTCACCTAAAGTAGTTCTAAAGCCTTAATGCATTCTAAGTGCATTTTAACCTTTTGTGCTGCAGGGTCCCCCTCCCCTTCTATGATTTCTATGGGGGCACCTGTGTGGGCTGCTCGGGAGAGAGCCCACACAGGTGCCCCCATAGAAATCAGCTTTCCATGGGGGCACCCATCGAAAAGGAGGAGCCTGGAGCACCAGAGGGGGACCCCAGAAGAAGAGGATTGGGGCTGCTAAATGCAAAACCATTGCACAGAGTATGCAAGTATACCATGTTCATGCCCACAGTCTGTGGGGATTGTTTACATCTAGTGCCACAAGTCCACTCTTTCCTGGCCATGTCTGCGCAGTACAGACTCATATATAGATTTATTTCCTTCATTTTTATTTTGAACAAAGTGGAAAAAATGCATTTCCTGTCATTTTTTCCCAGCACAACATTTACATTATTTGCACACTTCCATCTGTTTATTTCTAAATATGAGCAACAAAGTCTGAAAAAAAAAATATTACATTAGTGTGACTTTTATGTAACAGCAGTGATGGAAAAGCCCAACGTGAATGTATGTGTTTTCCTTTGGGAGCTTTAATCCAAGAATGAATCAACTCTGAGACATATGAAAGAGGAAATAAAAATTTGCGTAAATTGTTAGCATTATTTTAAAATGTGATTGCATCAGTTGATGATGGCGAAAGCATTGTGTTCCCCATCTCCCAAAAGCCTTTTGTGTGGGCAGTCATGACAGCAGCATTTGTTTTTGGGAAAAAAAAAAATGATGCCTTCAGATAGAGACAAAAGAGGCAAGGGATACTTTTTAAAACTTAAAAAGGATTGAGAATAAAGGTCTTGTTTTCTTAGCATTTCAATGCAATTTTCAGTGTGATCTCATGATGTGTGTTACATAACCATGGAAATACTGGACGTCATTCGTGGTATCCTGTTTGCAGACAAAGGTCTATTTGCATCAGAGTTGTTAGCCAAAAAAATAAATGCATTCTTAACATAGAAGGTGACTTGTGGTAAAACTCTCACTAAATGTTAGAGCTGGGTACTATTTATGGTTCTCACACTGAGTTATTAACCTATTTGATTTTTAGAACTTATTTTTAACTTGGTATTTAATTTGCCAGTTTAGTGCAGTAAACCCAATATCAATATCACGGGTTCAGTCCTCTCAGAGCTGATATTTCTGTGTTCGGTAGATGCTGAAGAGATAAACTATCTTACCTAGATTTAAAGGACTGTGCAACACATTTCATTTATTTATCTTTTTTGACATGTTAGAATTTATTTACTAAAGCTGGAAAGTGTAAAATCAGACTCCCTTCTGCATAGAAACCAATCAGCTTCTAACCTCAGCTTGTTCAATTAAGCATTGCCAATAAAACCTGGAAGCTGATTGGTTTCTATGCAGAAGTGAGCCTGATTTTAGACTTTCCAGCTTTAGTAAATAAACCTCTTTGTGTCTTGGTTATTTCTGAGTGCTGCTGTCTGGGAATATTTTACAACTTTTAGTAGAGAACTTTAGGATGTTTTTTTCACAGCTCCCCGGATTTTGGCCAGGGCATAGAAAGTATTCGTGCCAGTAATTTGAATTTCCCACCCTAAGATCTGGAAGTTTCTTTCACAGATGAGGGAAACAATCAAATTCTTAATCTGTGAAACCATGAGCAGACTTATGCAGGCCATAGATGTGTTCAGAATCTCCCGTTTTTTCATCCGATAAATGAAATATCGGTTGGTCTGAAAGCCAACGTTACCACTAATTATTATGAAAATCGGCAAATAAAGCCTT